TAGCTATTAAAGGGGATGTACGGATAAAGTACCAAACCTTATTTACCTAATTGTGTATATTTGGTTTTTAAAAAAATAAAAAAATTTTTTAAAAAAATCTTAGATAGCAAACTGTGATGCTTTTCAATGAGTCAATAACTTAGATGTGTACGAAATCAGTAAATAGTACAATAGATTGAAGAAGAATGCATCACAGTAAAGGTGATTCACGTTCACACGAAGACAGTTGCTAATGCTGTGAAAAAAGGCTTTAAAGTTTAAAGTGCACAAATGAAAAAACCGCCAGCTCAGGATTTTGTTTTCTTCGTTTCAATATTTGAAACTTATATTTAAAGATAAACATCAACTGCGTAGTTTCATTCAGGGAACATAAATCACAACTGATGAACTTTTTATATATTATAGCGCGATGCAATATATTGAGCCGCACCGCACACAAAATAATACTTTTTACTCTTGACAAATTTTTTTCTTAGCTTTAGCAATTAATAATCAAACATTGCTCTAACCATAGCCCTCTCGCTTGCAGTAGCGCGCGACCGCTGAAGTACGCGTATACACATGGCTATGTTGTATGTGAAATCAACCATAAAAGCTAATGTGTCATAACTGCAATAAAGTAAGCTTTTTTATTACAAACTTACCCGAACCTATGATTTGTTAATAATTAGCTTTGTAACTTGGAGTACTTTGACGCGCCACGCGCATTCACATAGTATAGCCATGTGTATACGCGTACTCAGTACTTTGTGACGCACTTGTTTCACAAGTAGAATATATAAAATATATTTTTGCCGCCTTCGGCGGTCGCGCGCTACTGCAAGCGAAAGGGCTCTTGTTAGATCAACCACGCGCATTATCATGCTTATTTCGTTTCGTGATGAAATCAAACATTGTAACGGAGCCACAAGCTGGAACAAATTTGCATTTTCAATTAAAAAAATTAACTTTTTACTAAATAATAAACGAACATTTTTGAAAAAAATATTTTTAATGCAGCGCAAGGCATATTTGGTGTTTTTATATTTTTTCTGCGAAAAACAATTTTGACTTTTTCATCCTCGCACGGCTCCCACTTACTCACTACAGTTGTTGTTATATAAATTTGTCCTTACCTAGAGTTTTCTAAAAAGTGGTTTAATAAAATCCCTTTTTCAATTTTGGTTGGTGTACCAACTTAATATAAAATAAATGATAAAGCAAATTTGAAATTAAATAATTATTTTATGTTCAAATTTATAATTAAATGTGCTATTTTTGAGATTATATTGGGCGTCGTTTCAATATTCAATAAAGTTTTAACATGACTGTTCATTTGCTTCTTGAATCCTTGTTTCAATTTCCCAACTCTTTGACACTAATTACTCTGTAAGTAAATGATCAATGATCAATCCTCCCATCATTGATCAATCCTCCTCTCATTGATTTGAGATATTTGAGTTAAAATAAAATTTTTGCTTGAGCTGTAAAATCCTCTGGTGTTGAGACTACTCCATCAGATCCCAAATTTGGGTCCACTACTGTTAAGGAGACTCGTATCCAGTAGGGGCTGACAGCGGTAAGCTTCAGTGTCTGCTGGTAACCGACTCGGCAACAGTAGTGGTTCCCATTTTTGGGTTGGAATGCCTGATACAAGAAAAATGGACACTAGGTCCAAAGTAGGAAAGCAAACTGGAAAGAAAGCTGATATCTGTGGATTTTGTTCAAAGGAGGTAATATGTGATTGTATTCAATGTGAAGGAAAATGTGGACGATGGTTCCATGCGGCATGTAGTGGACTGTCGGAGTTGCAGTTTAAAGACCTAGCAGAAAATGAGGATTCTGAGTGGTCATGTCAAAGATGTGGCAAGGAGGAGAAGAGCAACGAAGACTAAGACGAAAACCCCATAACTAAAGCTATCCGAAAGTTGAGGAGACAGGTCGAAGAAAGTGTACAACCATCTACTCCAATATCAAAGGACCCTCATATTGTGGAAGAAGAGGGAAAGGAGTGCTGTTTCCCAGGTTATGAAAATGTAAGGGATCCATCTCAATTGAAATTAGGATCATGGAATAGTTGGGAAGTTCTAACACAATGTGAGGGAATATATGGTGTTGTAGTCAAATGGAGAAGAAACATATTTCTGCTTCCCTCAGGGGCTGCAGGAAAAGCATTCATCGAGGAAATGACTAAAGTGGCCAACAATTTTTCGGCAGGCAGTACTATGGAATCAGTGACCATGACCCTTTTGATGATAATGCCATCACTACTGTTGCAGAAACCCTCAAAGAGATCCAAAGCAAAGGAACACACTGAAGTGTTGAAGAGAAGGCTTGTTTTGTGGCAGGCAGGTAAGTTAGAAGAGTTGCTGCGAGAAGGACAGGAGATTCAGAGAAGAATGGGAAAGGGGAAACATGAACATGGCCATGTTGAGAGAGTCTTCACTCGACTTATGATGAAAGGTAAAGTCAGTGCAGCAATGAGGTGGATTGGCGAAAATGCCACCGGGATTCTTGAACCCACTCCAGATGTGATAAAAGTACTGAAAGAGAAGCATCCCAAGGCATCACCTGCATCAAAGGGAAGCTGTCTGAGTGGACCAGTGAGGAGAGTAGAGCCGGTTATCTTTGACAGTATTGACGGGGAATCGATAAGACAAGCAGCAAAGAGAGTACAGGGTGCTGCAGGGCCTTCAGGAATGGATGCGGATGCGTGGAAGAGACTACTGTGTTCTAAACAGTTTGGTAAGAAGTGTGAGGATCTATGCAATGCTATAGCAGGGATTGCAAGGAAACTATGTGTCAGGAATCTGGATCCAACGATGTTGACCTCATTGACAGCATGTCGACTTGTTCCCCTGGATAAAAAGCCTGGCGTCAGGCCTGTTGGCATTGGTGAAGTCTTACGAAGGATAATAGGGAAGACAGTGATGACCCTCCTACAGAAGGATCTGGTTGGTGCCACTGCTCCTATTCAAGTGTGTGCTGGTCTTCAGGGAGGAGTGGAAGCAGCTGTTCATGCTGCGAGGGACTGCTTTGAAGATCCTGAAACTGAAGCAATCATCTTAGTGGATGCAGAGAATGCATTCAACTTGCTGAACCGAGAGGCAGCTCTTAACAACATGTATATTGTATGTCCAGAAGTTGCTACCTACATTATGAACACCTACAGAATGCCTGCTAGACTGTTTATTGCAGGAGAAGATGAACATCTTTTTAGTGAAGAAGGGACAACACAAGGTGATCCACCTGCTATGGGATTTTATGCATGTGGTACAATACCATTGATTGATGCAGGAAACATTGAGAGAAAAGTGACTCAGATCTGGTATGCTGATGACTCTGCTGCTGGGGGAAAACTGGAAGAAATGAGGAAATGGTGGGATAATCTCTGCATTAAAGGACCACTTTTTGGTTACAACCCTAAATCTTCCAAGACATGGGTGATAGTCAAGCCTGAGCACGAAGAGAAGGCAAGAAACTTGTTCCCAGATGTCAATGTGACAAGTATTGGTCGACGATATCTGGGCAGCTTTATCGGAACTGAGGAAGGAAAAGGGGCTTTCATCGAGGAAAAAGTTCAAGAATGGTGTCGTGATCTTAAACAATTAAGTGATATAGCATCAAGAGAACCTCAAATAGCATACAGTGCATACATGTATGGGCTTAGTAAAAGATGGAACTATGTGTGCAGAACTACCCCAGGAGTTGCAGATAGGCTCACTCCTCTGGAACAAGTAACACGCGATGAGTTTATCCCAGCTATCATCAACAGGCTGTTTAGCTGCACTGATGAACTAAGGAACATAATGGCTCTACCACCAAGATATGGAGGATTGGGTATACCAGTTATGATGGACATGGCAGACCGAGAGTACAAATTCTCATGTAGAGCCACAAAACCCTTAAAGAAGCTATTCTCAAGCAGGTGGACAACTACACAGAGGACTGGAGAGTAAGCAAAGGAGTGAAAACTGAGATAACAACTGAACGAAATCTCTTCTATCGACAAAAACAAGCGGAAATACGCCAGGAGCTCGAGTCAACACCACTGGCAAAGTTGATGTTCCAACTAGCTGCTGAGAAAGGGGCAAGTGCTTGGTTAACAGCACTACCTTTAAAAGAGTATGGATATCTGATGAACAAACAACAGTTCTCAGACGCATTAGCTCTCAGGTACAACCTGAACTTAAAGGACAGCCCTAAGACATGTACGTGTGGCCAAAAGTACTCAGCAAACCATGCGCTCATCTGCAAACTCGGTGGATATGTGTCACTGCGGCACAACTCGCTGAGAGACACCTTTGCTGAACTAATGAGAACTGTGAAATGCAAGGATGTGCAGACTGAGCCAGTTCTTCTTCCAGTTGATGGTCTGAAGTTGCCTAAGGGAACAGTACTTGGAGACCAAGCTAGGCTGGACATTTCTGCAAGATCGATTTGGAATGCTTCAGAGAGGGCATATTTTGATGTAAGGGTATTTCATGCCCCAGCCCCCTCCAATGCAAGCAAATCGATCCCAGCAATGTACCAGTCCCATGAAAATGAGAAAAAGCGATGTTACAACGAAAGGGTTCTTGAAGTGGAGAAAGGAAGCTTCACACCTTTAGTGTTCTCGACTTCTGGTGGAATGGGTAGTGAAGCTGAAAGACTGGTAAAAAAGCTGGCCAGTAAGATGGAGTACCACACTGGCCAGAGGTACTCGGATGCTGTAGGTTACATCAGAAAGCGCCTTCGCTTTGAAATCCTAAGAACAACAGTGATTTCTCTCCGTGGAGACAGAGGTGCGAGAAAAAACATTGTTAATATAAACAGTCTAGATCTTAACTTGGAGCCACAAGGCCAAGGGTAATTTTTGAGTGTTTAGGGAATTTTTTATATTCTTAAAGGTTTGATTTTATATAGGGTCATTGCTATATTATGTTTATATTGTTTGAATAATTTTATAAGTGCACAAATCCTTGTCAATGCAATATGGACATTGACAGTGAAATCATTTTACCAGAGACACGATAAAAATTAAATAATTTGTTGTTGATTTACTTGATTTAAAATTTACACAAGAATAGAATACATTGCAACCTGCCTGCCTGCCTAGGTCGGTCCAGATGAAATCTGGAACGAGTTTCGTGTCAACGCATTTCTCCATTTATCTCTATCACTCATGAGCAGACGTATCATGTGGGGCTCTAAACCAGTATCTTCTTGAAGGACGTCCGGAAAGGTCTTGTGTGGTCGTCCTCGATACCTTTTGCCGTAAGATGGTTGCCAGAAAAGGAGTTGCTGAGCAGGTTGGTCCTGTAGACGGTAGACATGCCCTGCAAAACGAAGTCTTCGTGTTTTGATGGTATCAGTCACCGATGGGATATTTCCGTAGAGGACGGAGTTAGGTGTGTGGGATTTCCATGAGATACCAAAGACCCTTCGTAGCATTCGTGTGTAAACACCGTCTAGTGCTTTAGTGTCAGCTTTCTTCAAAGTCCATGTTTCTGCGCCATATAAAAGAACAGGCTCGACTGCAGTTCTGAAAATTTTAGTCTTGATCTTTCTAGACATGTCAGATTTCCAGAAAACATCTAGACTTTACAGCTAACACTATTAATGCTAAGTACCAAACAACAAGTGGGAGGTGGATCGTTGGTACCATTAAATCGATTTAACACCGCAATTCCAGTCGCAAGCCTGGGACCACTACTAGCATAGTCACAACATCTACAAAGCTGCCATATAGCCTGACTGACAATTTTCTCGACTGACTGACAATGTTTCTTCTTTTTCCCCATTTAGAATACAAAGATTAGTACATTTTAGCTTATGATTAATATTATATTTTTACCTATAGTTTACTTAGATTCCATGCAAGGACTTTCCTGACATTGATGTCTTTGCTGGTTGAAGCGATGTAGGATCCAAGATATTTAAAGTCGTGGACTTCTTCGAGAGGGTTGCTGTTAATGAAGACCCTATCATCCGAGTTAACAGGCCGTGGTAGGTTGTAGGACATGTATTTTGTCTTCTCGATGTTGCAACCATGCGACCCATAAACAATATTCCAAACCGGATTTTACATGAACTTAATTTAAAATTCGTTTGGAGTTTGGATTTTATTTACCTGGGGGCCTCAGGCTTTTTTGTTCATAGTGAGATATGGCGGGATGATAGGCTGAGCACAGTACTGTAAGGATCTTATCAAGTGATTGGAAGATATATGAATAGCATTTAACGAGGATGTGTGAAATTGATATCAAACACAAATTTTACTGGATGCATACAGCCAAACCAAAAATCATTTTGTATGTAGGTGACTGGTGTACTTTGTATCCCATTCAACTTTGAGAACCCTTGAGTTTGCAAGCAAGGGCTTGGTCAACACTATTGGCGTTACCATTAGCACATTATAAACACCTCCTGGATAGAATAATCAGCCAGGATGGAATAATCAATTCTGATAATCCCGCTGTTTTTTCCCGCTTAATAAATAACCCTGGCACAGTTTCTATAATCCCACCCCGCTTTGGCTTTTTTTTCATATTTCCATGAGAATCTCATCCGTGCACTGTCAAATTTTTTGATGACGCATGTCACGTGACTTAACGTAAGAACTATAAATATGCTTGATCTACGATACGGTATCAGTCGAATTGCAGGCGCTGGCAACGTTCCAGCACACCAGTGGCGTAACGTTGCCTGTTGGTGGCCCCTTTACGGCGCCCCTCCCTAAAATTGAACAAATTAGATGATTTTAGAGGATATGCCGGTAAAATCTCCAAAAAAGTGTGTTTTTAGAGCAAAACGCACAGTTTAGTTATGTTCTTTTCCTTGAAACACTGCTGTATCTTCTAGAGCACATTTAAACCATGCCTTTTTTAGATGTTCCCTTGATTTTTTCCTGGGGTTCAAGAGACTGTTCATGTTGCTTGGTCGTATTATTATCTTTGGTCTGGTGTACCTTGTATTTGGAAAGTAAGGAAATGAAGAGATACTTTTGTTTTAATTTTCTGTTTACTGTGGTACAAAAGACATTGTCACGTATAGTGATGGAAGTATTTTAAGCGGGAATATCCTGTCCAAACTCAGGATACATGACATAAAGAATTTGGTTTAACTTGTTTGTATGAAAAGCATCAATAGATGGAAATAGCCATGGTTTGTGCTTCTGAAACAGATTCTCCTCAGTGGTAAAATTGATTATAAACTCATGGGCACATCAGTGGCGTTACGTTACCATTGGGCACAATTTACAGAGAAGATTATTCAAATGGCAAAATGGAACTGTGCATGGGAGCTAAAGCCTACAGTATAGATCAGGACATCTCAACACAATTCACAAAATATAAATGCGTAACAGTGGATACTGGTAGTGTTGCAGTAGATACTGGTAGAGCGACAGTAAATACTGGTAGTGTTACAGTGGATACTGGTAGTGTGACAGTGGATACTGGTAGTGTTGCAGTGGTAGTGTAACAGTGTGACAGTGGATACTATTAATGGTAGTGTTACAGTGGATACTGGTAGTGTAACAGTGGATACTGGTAGTGTGACAGTGTATACTGGTAGTGTTACAGTGGATACTGGTAGTGTTACAGTGGATACTGGTAGTGTTACAGTGGATACTGGTAGTGTTACGGTGGATACTGGTAGTGTTACAGTGGATACTGGCAGTGTTACAGTGGATACTGGTAGTGTTACAGTGGATACTGGTAGTGAAACAGTGGATACTGGTAGTGAAACAGTGGATACTGGTAGTGTTACAGTGGATGCTGGTAGTGTAACAGTGGATACTGGTAGTGTAACAGTGGATACCTGGTAGTGTGACAGTGGATACTGGTAGTGTTACAGTGGATATTGGTAGTGTTACAGTGGATACTGGTAATGTTACAGTGGATACAAACAATTGGAGAAATCCATTATTAGGCTGAAATCAATTTGATATCTCATTAATTGTTCAAACAATTATAACAATAACTTGTAAAGAATCGGTCATTCGAATTTTAACACAGCGCTATATCGAGTCTGTTATGGATATTATGTACATATTGTTTTTCCGAGAGCCGTTCTGACATAAACACCGATTTTTATCCTTAATTAGTTCATTTAAGCATTATCTTTGTCACACAATAGTGGGGTAGTATAGTATAAGTAGTAGTAATATAGTAGTATAGTATAACACTTGTAGTAGTCAACACTTGGTTTCCTTTCCTGCAAAGGAAATATCAAAATAACATCATCACAAAGTGTAAAATCACAATGATTTATGCAAGCCTAATAAGGCATGATTCTGATATTCAGTAAAGCTTTCTATTCACGCTATTTTACTTGCTTCATTTTTTAGTTTAGAGATCTGAGCATTTATTTACTTATTATACTTAGTATTTATTTTTGGTGACTGTATCACCCAGTTTTAACATTTGATAATTGTACAGTTTATTGACGACACATTGACTGAATGTTATTTTATATTCTAATTTATATTCTAGATATTTTATTTATTTTTCAACAGACGACAACTTCCTGTTTTTTCTTCTATATTAGTTACTCATATCTCTTTTACAGACTTTTTTACAAGGACATTGACAGATGATACTCACATTAGGCATTCATTATTGCATCTAAATTATTTCACTTGCATTAGGTTTAGGAAAACAAATTTTTTTTTTTTAGAAATTTATTCTCTGGTTAACAGATTTCAAATGTTTAATTAATTTGTAGTATGACAGTAAGGTATATAAGAAGTTATTTAATTTTGCTTGGGCTATTATATTGACTATTGAGGTTTAATGATGATATGGAATTTGAATTCTATATAAATTTACACTATGTGGTTGGGGCATTTTGCATAGTAAATATGGTTACTACTCCTATATATCATATTATTTGATTGGTATTCGATTTCTGATTATTTCTCTAGGAATATGATTATTATATCTCAATTTGGCTTTAGGTAGGGTGCCCCGCTAAAAGAACTGGATTCTTCCAGGAAGCATCCCGTGCACAGACCTTGGTCTACATATATATTAAATTATTAACCATTCATTCTGTATGTGCACGAAAATTTATTTCAATCAAACATCACTGTTTCCCAAATTTTTATTTTTATTGCAGCTGCAGAAAAATGGAGACATTAAAAAAAACCAACATTTTTGTATTTAAGTTTGTAAACGACCTTGCATTTTGTTTAGACAACCACATTAAAATTTCATCATGCAATTTGTTAACCTTGTGTCCATTATACTTTACAATAGAAAAGGTCGGATTATTCTAGAACAATCTAAATCCACCAAATCACTAATTTGGGTCACACCTGACTACCCCCACCAAGACGACATCACATTTCTGCTGTCCATAGTTACCAGCGTGCACATGTCCTACCAATTCTCAACTCAACAATTGCACGTGTAATCTGGTCACGTGGTGAATATTGTTTTCCTGGTTAATTAATAAAGGTGGGATAAAACTTGAACAGCCCTAACTTCAATCTTACTCTCAGTGTGTGTAGTGCAATCTGCGGCGTACACTGTAGTCTGTTCGAGCTGAGATCTTATGGGCTGTATTTACTCGCCTCAATATTTATTATTATGAAACTATGGCGATCAATTCAAATGGTCAAAATGGCACCTTCATTCGATTATTAGCCGCTCAAACACCTGTTTTGTTTTGACTTCTCTCAATTAATTTTCAGCCACTGAATTTCCTGTTATGTTTTGTGACTTTGCAAATTCGTGCTGAATGCTGCTCTAAACATCCAATCAAAGACACTTCCCCTCGATTTAGCCTATTGAATACCAATATGAAAGTACGGTACATTTTAGAAACACGCAATCCATGCAATCAGCAGCTAGTTTACTTTCTTTCGCAAAACAATGGTCGTTTAACAACTTTTGCTCGAATCAGTGTCGTGACTGAAGATTAACTAATCATGCTGGAGATGATCACTGGACACCACACTACTTGACTCTCAGCTCCAGTTGTCAAGGATTACAGCAACAATCAATCCGAAAAGTAATCCATTAATCATCATCTCTGACACTAACAAGCTGAAGAAGTGGCAGGACAAAATGTGGTGTCCTGACTCTCTGTCACATGGTGTTCTGCAGTCTAATAAATATGTAATATATGAGAATGCTTGTGTTTACAATACACCCGCCAGAGTGTTACTTTGGTAGCTTCTAACAAGCAAGATGCTCGCAGTAACTTGTAATAACTTGTAATGCTATCACGCTCCAAACACAGTATTCTTGTACGAAAAGTTGTTGAAAAAGTTTTGTTTGTATTGGATTAGGACGCGGTTTCCTTTGAGAAATTGTGTTGCCCTTATTTTTGTTTTTTATGTTTTTTAGTAGTTCTTGCTATTCTGACCGATCTTTGCCGTGTTTTCTCAAATATTGGCAGTTTCAACGAGTCATTATTCCTAATTGATTAATTAATAGATAGACTGACTAAGAAGCTTTTAATTGACTGAATTGCCATGCTAATTGGTGGACCAAGTGTGCAGGTAACCATGGTAACACCCGGGTAACCATGGTAACACCCGGGGGGACCAGTGAATTTGTTTGCACCTCCAATTTAGGGTGGTGTTGTCGGCTTGTTCCTTGTTCCTGTCCTCCCTCATTAGACCGTTCCACTTGGTCAACAACCACCTCCATAATTAATTTATTAATTAAATTTTTCTAAATGTTCCCTTCTCACCCCGCCACAAGTATTTGCACTTCATGTCACGTTGATGGGAACATTTGCTGAAATGTGCTGGCTATTTTCATCGCTGACACCGACTACCGAGCCTTTTGTCAATTAAAAACCGATAGTTGGAAGTACCAGGCTGTTGATTATCCACTAAAAATGGGCCGTCTCTCTCTCTCTCTCCGGTCTCCTGAATAAACGTGACGAACACGTACTGATTTAATAATTAGCTTTAGCGTTGATAGATTCAAAGAGACCAGAAGTACATAACATTGAGTTATTGGACTAGGAAATGTTCATTTTAGCCTACAGACCGTGGTAGTAAAACATCAGGTCTGCTTTAAAATACTGCCACTAAAATAGAAGGTGCTGGAGTTGCTGCTAAATTTAGAATTTGTCCGTCTGGCAGGTGGTGGTGGTGCTACGTCAAATACCGACGTCATTCCCCCGCCCACCCACCCTGAGCGCTTGCTTCATATTTTTGTTAATTGACTGCTTTGCTCGGTATTCAATCAAACGGCTCTCCAGTGTTCACATGAGTCAAGTATGCTGGCCACGTGTGCAACTCAGGACGCTCTTTTGTAGTTTATGCCCGAAAAAGGGAGCGTTTAATTTTGCTATTAATGGGGTGCGAACCGAATTCAGTATTAGTGAACTATTTCATCGTTAACTTAACCGGAATATTGTTGGCCAGAAAAGTTATTGTTGCGGTCCACAACCTGTTTGACATGATATATTGAACTGCTAGAAACTCTAGGGCTGTAGCGACATATATTATGTAAGGTCTGGCAATCTCCTTCAGTTAGACAGTGTTATCACCTACACTAATGAACCAGGTATGATTTTCTCATCAACAACCTACTTTAACTGAAGTTTGTCCGATAATGTGATTATCAGGCCGATCCCTGCAGTCTCCAGCAGTATCTGGATCCTGTACTGAGTGGGTGTTAACTCATTGGTTCCACTCCATGAACTTCGCTGGTACTCCCCCTTATCTCCCTTTATCATGGTCACCCTGGAGGGGGAGAGAAAGGAAACAAGGCTGGAATATGGGTGGTAAATCCTCTAAACTGTTTAGCAGCACTACAATACAATCAGGAGATTGGGGTAACTGCTGTGATGTTTTGTATCTGACTGCATCCTGCACCGTCTCCCCACTACCAGACGACCGTCTGGTCGCCGTCTAGCTCAACTCCCAACAATTTCACGCCATGTTCTCAGGATTTCACGCCATCTTCCCCGTCACCCTGAAGACGGCGGTAATGAGTCTACTGCTGTTTCCTAGCCTCTTTGACTGCCATTTGGCTGGCAGAGCTGGTCATTTGGATCACGTCGGTATTTGAGGTGGGATACCGGTGTTCGTTGTAACGTTGTTAAGGAAATGCTGCGATCATGATTTATTTTAGAATGGAGCTGCCAAGCATGCTACAACGCTGAATCGGCTGTGTACTTTTGAAGTTCACTGAATTCACTTTTTTAGTTTTAATAGTTGTATCAAACTATCCGTTTGAGTACAATTTAAATGTTTAGTTTGAGTCTGATTTTAAAGAGAGCTCTACTTACTACTTCAATCATAACTTTTAATTTCACGGAATGTTTAAGTTTTAACCATAACCAAGTTCAGCCTTCGATCCTCGAGCTCTCTGCGTGCTTTAAAATCAGCTGCTATCGGAAATAATTTAGCTTGATTCTTTGATTGCGTCGTTTTTGTGAGCGAGTTTTACACCTAGACTAACAACCGTGTCACGTGTCACACAAAGTCACGTGTCAACTACACACTGATTACCAGGTGAAGAAGGAGTAGTATTTACCTTTGTTATACCGGAAGTTTACGAGTGGGGATGTGGTTAGGGTGTAAAATTTCACGATTGTGCTTCAAACCCACTACCTGGTAACTTCATGGATCGTTTTTGTTAAAAAAACTGATGTGCCATTTCGCTGATTACATGCCAGGAGAGTTTCAGTTACTAGCTGCCCCCCTCTTCCGTAATGTTTTGTCACATTTCTTAAATTCACGTGATTTTGTTCATCTGTCAAAACTGCTGACATATTCTGATTTTGGGCTGTGTTTCCTTAATTATATTTATATGCGTCATTATCAGAAGCAATTTATTACTGCATGCTTGACAAATTACATCTGACATTCTTCTCTGATCAAAGCATTATTATCTGCTTATTTAGGCTATCGTAACTGTAATCATTAATCAGGTCCTAATTGCTCTGGATTTAGCAGTGATGGTAGCACTATTTTGGTCGCCCAGTTTCATCAGATCATGATAACCTGCACCCCATTCGTGTCAGATTGCCAGAATTATTACTGAACTGCTTGCTTTACTTTACCCAAGTTTACTTTCCATCTAGTGCACCACGGTCAACTCTGCTTTACAAAGCAACACACTCGCTAAGTTACAACTGCCTCATCCTGGTTCTGATTACACAGAGCATGCGGTCACACTCACATAATATATAATATATTCTAACACAATACAGGTGTAACAACAGCTGGATGGTGAAGTGCAGACAGCGAATCTGCGCACTGCTTCTCTATTTCCTCTCTCCTCTCAACCCTCTCTTCTCCTCTTCTACCTGTTCTTCTCTTCTCTTCTACTTCTCTTCAGCCCGCACAGCGTGACTTACTCTACCCTGAACACTTATCACTTTCTCGTGTAGGCCGGACTTTTTGATGTGTAATACGTCATCTTCTTCTGTTTGTCGTTTGAAATTATTATATCCGGAGCTGTAGTTCGCATGGTACACCTTCAGAGCATGACCCACTCCACGGATCGGTATTTAATGGTTGTTAAAATTTTGTGATGTCTCGGTCGTGGCCCATTAATATTTCTAGAATGAACTATGCCATGAGATTTTGAAATTCTGAGAAATCGCGCAAAACTGTTAAAAATTTCCGTAAAGATTACTTCGATGTCGACAAATATTACCTGGAGGCTTCGCTTCGAGCTCGTGTTTCGTGTTCAAGAGTAATCTGGGGTCTGCGCTATAACAAGCTCAAGGCTTGTTTTACCATCGATCTCGATCAATTTTACAACGTTAATTATTTTGTGCTATGTTATTTTGTTGGGTTTGTTGAATCAATATTTTAAACCCTAATCTCGCTCAGGTGGAATGTGAACAATGTAAACAGCACAATGTAAAGTGTAGACGGAGTTAGTTTTCAGCCTCATACCTCATTACAACATGTCCGTGCTAGCTGGAGACTCCTGTCCCTCTGTTGATGACGCGGAAGAAGATTCAGATCTAGAGGTAGAGGATGAGGGACCCCAGGCTAAGAAGAGACTGACCGGGGACACGAAACCAGACCGTATGAGGATAGCCCACTCAACTGCTGAGAAGAAAAGACGTGATGCTATTAAAGATGCGTATACTAATCTAACAAGTGCTATCACAGTCATGGGTGAGGAAGAGAAGAAGAAGCTGACTCGAGCTGAGGTGTTGGATTTGGCTTATATTAGAGCTGAAGATCTTAAGACAAGTATTGAGGCTAAGAGAGCTGAGAAAGATGCTTTGCAAATGAAGCTATCAGCTCTGAAAGTTATATCAGAAGCGTACGATTCAATGCCGATGACGTCCGAAAAAAGCTCCATCCCACCAGATCTGAACTGTGTGGTGTCGAACAACATTAAGCTGAAACTGTTCACAACTTTGATACTGAAACAGTTTGAGTCATTCAGTGGGGTGATAAACACGGAGAACCTCCAGACTCTAGCTACCTCACTCTTCTATTGGGTTGAAGTTCACTGGAGACCTGTTGATTTGAAGGAGTATCTTATAGGGTTACTGAAGGTTTTGAGGAACAGGTTTGTTAATAAGAGTGTGCCTGAGCCTGGTCCAACTCTCACTCAGATCGGGGTTCCTGGCTCTTCTTCAGTCTCGAGGGTTCCAGGCCCTTCTTCAGTCTCGAGGCCCTATTGATTAGGTGATATGACAACTCTGTGCGGAATTTAGCGTTGTGTGAATGGTGAAATTTATGGGAGCAAATTAAATTATATTAACTTCTCAATATGTAGGTTACACTTTCAACTTTTTACTTCTTTTTACTTTTTAAATGCTGAATAATTTTAATTTTTGACGAAGATTATTTTCAAGAGTTTTAACCAGAGTTTTACGCTATATTTAGGAGTATTATGAAGGAATGCAACCATTAATTAGTAGTTGCATGTTATATCTCAGTAAACTTTATCTTCAATCTACGACAGACCGAAAAAAATAACCACATTTTTCACTTACACTGCATTTCACGAGCACATAATTTATGAGCAGAAATTAACATGAACCAGCCATGACCTCCTCAAAATTCACATAATATATTATGCGAATATATCTCAGCCAGGTCGCACAGCTGGCCGCGTCCGCACGGCGCTCCACCAAACACACAGTAATTCCCCGGCGAGTGTCGCAGCAACTCAGGGACACACTGTTTTATTATACGTGTGTTCAGCAGTGCATGAGACTTCACGGTGATTCGCGTGCTTGCTGGGTCACCAGCACATGATACACTGTGTCGGGTAGGGTGGCCCCTTTATACAGTACCGTCCAACAACGTGCAACACTGTATCTCACTTGCTTTCCTAATTAGACACAATTAGGGAGTGGCCCCCACCCCAGGTAGACGAGAGGGTCAAGAAGCAAATTCCTGATCTGTTAGATCACAGGGGGTGGGGAGGCAACTATTTAGAAGTACTACCCTAGTGCGAGCGTGTGATCTGTTGGGATTACCCGCGTTATTTTCACATCCAATTACATATCGTTATGTCGGTGCTTTGTGTAATTTCTTGTCGGTCCTCTCTTGGAAGTTTTGAATATTTTTGTAATAATTTGGTATTCATGTTAACATTTTATGCGGTTTTGTTTCTCTCTCTCTCACTGACTCAAAATAAGCTAGGTGCGCTACATTGTATCCATTAAGTCTATCCTCTAGGACAAGGATCTGAATTGGCACAAATTGCCTTACCCCTAATCTGATTACTCAACCTGATAAACCAACATTATTTATTAATACCCCGATAACATTATGCTATTCAATGTCCGCATTTATTGTGTCAACTTTTATTATCTCATTTCTGAATCTCATCAAATTATTTCACCATAGGTACCATGGTTCGGAACCGCTTAATACTGATGCTCGGAGGTTGGCGGTGACTCTAGAACGGGGGAATGTGGTCCTAGAACCCCAGAATGTCTATATCGGTACCTTGTAATAATATCAGGTGTGGTCTACTAATCTAATGTGTTTAATTTTAGTCCGACCAATGTTTAGCTGTGCACTGTCCATATATTTAAAATAACACCAATTGTGTTAGTTATCGTTAATCTTTGTTAAAAAAACGGACACCGTACAAATGCACATTGCCCTTCCTTTTAAATTGTCGAATTTGAATTCCATAATTTCATCATCATAATCGTAAAGTGATTGATTATAGTTTGTTATATTTCGATTAAGTAAAATAGGTGCGAGTTGTAATTTCAGGAAGATTAATTCTCTGATATATATATAAGATCAAGGCTGATGATGATGATGATGATGATGATGATTTACTTCCCTAACCCCTCGCAGTATTGCAGTGTGTTAAGTGCGTTAACGCGAGTCAAATCGAGTTAGGGTTCTTAACCCGTAACTAGCCCTAAACCGATCACTTCAATTTGTTCGTGCTAGGGCATTACTGATCAATTAGTAATCGAAATACCAATTCTCTCTCTGATTTAAGGAGTACAGCAGCCCGGTGTGTGCAGCTCTCTCAGCCAGTCCCCTGAGAAACCTGTTTTACCATTCGCAGGTGATCATGTGATGTCACTCACTTTACTTTTAAAGCAAACATTTATCCTATTAAGCTATTATCGGATCGTCTCTTCTCCTGACCTCCTCTCTCTCTCTCTCTCTCCAGACCTCTCCTCTGTGTATACTTTCTTCGTTTGTGTTGAAACTTGTACCGGTACGTGCTAGGAGGTTGGGTTGATGCTGTAGCCACCCAGCCGATATAGATACATGTGTCTCTTACTCTCCGAGATACAGATCTCTATTTGGCTGACAACTTGTCGATCTCTAAGTAGGGTGACTTCAATGTTACGGTATTTGCGTTTTGTGATGCTTGATTGAGGATTGCACAACGCCTTGCTCTGCTCCATGAAGCAAGTCATTTCATCATTTCATCTCGTCGTCATTCGGTTCTCTGTCTTCTCCAGGAGGGATCTGTTTAGTAATTGTGACACTGACCCCGTTGTGACCGCTAACTTGCGCCTGTAGCCCTATTCTTGTGGCAATGTCTATACTTGGCATACTTTTGTAATTATGGTATGTACTTATTGTGGCTTTCGTTATTGCGGTGAATGCCGAAACTACGAAAACCATGACCATACTATATTGGACTATGTGACCAAACTGACCATACTATCGTTAATTATTTGTGCACCAAATATTATTTAACCACAGCAAATTATTTATTTGCATGACGTGAGGCCCCAAAAACCCGCCAAACCTACAACTTTGCATCCGCCTATATATTATCTGACTACATCTGAGATATTTGAATTAGAGATTACTCATAATATACCACTTCACTACTCGTCCATCCCATCTATGTTGGTGTTCTGCAAAAATCAACCTAGAACTGTTATAGGTTTGTCTGACCAGGCCCCGATGAGACTTCACGTCTATTCAGAACATAAAAACTGTAAATGAAGTAGTATAGTTATGTTAGTTTGTTAGTTTAAAAACTCATTCCGTTGTCCGCGAAAACATTATTAAAAACCATGCCAGACGAACTTTATACCTGCAGCTTGTCCAAACCACCAGTTTTGTCTGATTATTTTTTACCGATAAGAATATAAGCAACTCCTTGTTAGGGTAAGTATCTGTTGCATTTGCAGGAATGTTCAGCATATTCTTCAGAACGCTCATATTATCAGGATATCCGTCTGCAGGCGATCTGAGGATTTGAACCCCCTCTGTTTTCAGCTGCTTTGTCGACATTGTATTATAACAGGTTGTTAGCAATCCTTAACAGAAATTTAACTACCGTTAGCCGTTGAGACGCCACAGATACCTTGTTGCTCTGATTGCACTTATAGCTCTTCTTAATTCACTGTGTCCCCCATTTCGAAAATTTGTTTCAAATTGGGAAAATTTACTTGCTAATTAACAGTTAATGAGAAGTGCTGTTCGTAAAGCTTTGCGGTTTCTTGTAGATGTGACTTTTACCTTCGTTATATAATATATTTCAAGCTTGTCGCTATGATGAAAGGCTGTTGATAAGTAGTAAACTTTGTCCGTTTAATGGAAAATTTAGTGTCATTTAAACGAGCAGGATATCATTATCTTCTAAACAAAACTAGTTCCATTTTTGCATCGGAAGTTTTAAATCTGGTTAAATAGAACTCTCCAGGCCAAAGTTCATACAATTTCAATTTGAATGTTGTTAAAGCAACGTTGTCTACAGCTGACAATGACACATCCACGTCAAGAAAAGCAAAGCCAGACAAATTATCTGGCAAGCTTTATGTGGGTTTCAGGGTGAGGGTATAGCATTTATCACTTGTCTTGTCAAGACATATGTTTGGGTTGTGGCGGGGGTGTTCGTAAATTCAATTTCAAAGTCTGCTTAAAAGCATAATTTCTCCTACTTTCTGAAAATGTTCCGGTCGTGATACAACTAGCCTCCATTATACCAGTCGTCATAAGTATCCATCGGGTTCCCCGATGATTGGATTTGCGTTATCGGCAAACAGTTCGAGAACTCGTAATATAGTGGCTGATTATTATGGCTCCAATATGTTACAGTTAATGCTCACAGGATCGCTCAATGGAGGGTGTCAGATAAGGGCCCCTGACAGGGCCCAGCCGGCAAAGTCTTTACAGTCTCATTCCCAACCTTCCGCACGTGTACCTTCCAATCCAGGGTTCCCGGCTCACCGGCCAATCAGGAGCCGGGAATAAACTCGCCAGCCAATGAGAGGCGAGGGGTGGTATTCACGTGGTTGGCATGAAGGACCGGGAGATTTAATTAGCGGTTAGCTGAGATTGCTGCACTTGATGAACGTGCTGTTCTATTCACATATGTATTATATCTCTTTAGAGTACACCTAATTAGATTGTTTCTTCATGAAATTCCTCGGAACCGTGTCCTCACTTTAGGGGCACATGTGATACTTTGCGGCCATTTCATTGGTCAGCTTAGTCAAGATCTCGCATTTTAATTGGACCACTCTGCACCGAATTGACGCAGGCCATTGATTAGAATCGTTTTATAAAATGCGGTATATTATTAATATTCCGTCAATTAATCCCCCGTAATTTTCAATTTGGGCGATTTTATGTTCCGGACAAGTACCAGTGATAAAACATGTTGCAGTGCCCTACAGCTGTGAATGTGACAATTTTCCGATGTAGCCTTCCTTGCACCCAGGTAGATGGAGCTGGGCATGTTGCGTTAATTACGAATAATTAATAATACAGGTTCACTAATTGAAATAGACAACATACAGTTTTTCTCTTCATCTCTCCACATTTCATGACGCAACGGCCCTGGTCTTTATTACATCTTTACATGATGCTCTTTGAAATTTCTGGAATTTCCTTCTCTGATTAGTTACCAGTTTGACATTGTTAAGTTCCATTAATCTGCAAATTGTCATAACAATTGAACATTGGCAAGTTTGACGCATTGTTTTTATTGGTTAGTAAATGGGTGGGAGTTAATGCTTTTATGACGCAGTATCGTAAATTATATTTTCCTACGCCCAATATTATTTTAGAGGATTATGGACATTTAGATTATGGGGTTGTTTTTGTTGCAGCTGCTGTATCTTTTTGTTGCAGCTGCTGTATCTTTTTGTTGCAGCAGCTCTATCTTAATGCGATACGAGATGAAGATAAGAAAACTCCCAATCACATGTTATAGATACAGCTGCTGTATATTTTTGCTGCAGCTGCTTAAAGCTTTAAATGCGATACGAGATAAATATACCTCCATCAAATCAGTTTCTTCCAGCTTCAGTCAAATTGTTTCTCCAGTTTCAATTTGTGATCTTTTATCTTCCTTCGCTATCACGATACTATCAAGTCTAAACTAACGGTTTACGTTGTATTTGATCATCAATACTATGGATTATCTCACTCAAAAGAATGCCAATTAAATACTGAGAATGAGATAACTCATTTAATTGCGAACACAATGCGTCAAACATTGTTTAAAATGGTTAATATCAGAAGTTCCAGGGGATTCTCAGATTCTGTGGATTTGAACCAGCCACTCAGCCTTCACATTGCACGTCAACAAAATACTGCTTTATGGTTGAATTCCGTTACCATGACCACCATTCATATACTGTTTTTAATTTCAATAATCCGCAGCAACCACGCTAACTCGGCTACCATTTAATAGATTTAAAAGCTTTGGTACAGAGTCCCGTGCTTAATACGAGAGATGTAGTCGTCACGTACCACGTGATCCCCTGCTGCCCGCTCATTGGTCAGCCTGGAAAAAACCGTTTTTTGATTGGTCAAAAAGTTTTATAAGTGTGGGAAATTCCCACGGGAGGCTATACGCGAGTGACAATAGCTATTATTGATAATAGTAGTAAAACTATTGACCGAGCGTTATCTAAGTTTACAGTAGTGTTTACATATGCTTACTAACGTGCGCTTTTTCACAAGAGTTAAATACTGTATAGTGCGTGGAGTATCGACTAACAATGAGCTCCAACTCACCAAGTTCAATTTCATAAACTCAGCTTGCTCAATCGTTGTGAGGCATTGTGTTTCGTTTCCAGCTAAGCATGTAGCAGTTTCATTGAAGAATAGCCGGTGCAAATTCACAGCTGGTTAACTGTTTTTTAATTATCGGCCCGGGCAGCTGTGACCATTTGGGTTTTGTAAAAAGGTAATTAAATCAACAAGTTTTTATTCTCAACCAATATCAAAATTATTAAAGAATCTAATGTAACCGTATGTGATTTATAGCCCACTGGTTCACGGGAACTTGGTGGTTCATTATCATAGCACCCTCTATTTTATTATAGCCCTTCTAATCTAATTCTATCAGCACATGGTCTGTGTCCCCTAAGTTCAGTATCTAGTGTGCCCTGAGTTCAGTATCTAGTGTGCCCTGAGTTTAGTATCTAGTGCCACTACAATAACTGATCTAATATGTCTCAAGATAGTATCTCGATACAGTTTCCTGTTGTAATTGTCGTTAATTTAGACAGTCAAGATGAAGCCGTGTCATCCCTATCTCGCTGCTAATACCCCTCACTTGACTGGGATAAGAGGGCGCTAATGGCTGTGTGGCGACACACTGTTTAGCACTTTGATCTAAACAAGGTTTATATCTGATGATATCACACAAAGTAGTATAAGTCACGTGACACAGCGTCCCCCTCTGCAGCACAGCTCGCAGCGACTGGTTGCTGGTTAGCAGGGTCACACCCTGCAGGAACCCTATAAATACCACACAATGAACTGTTAAGTCATGACGGGACAGTGAGACATATTGGCGCGGATAAGGGTGCGAGCTGTAAGACAAGCTTACCGTGGCGAGTGCTTCTGCCCCCTTCAGCGACACTGTTCAGGGTATTTCTTACCCTGGTTACCCCTGTACTAGTGGTCGTGATTAGATTACAGGTCAGGTATAATACAGGTGGCTAGATTCCTCATCCTCCCGCGGGCCCAGCACCGGTGGCTTTTTTGACTCCTATTGGCAACGAAACATTGGTTGATATCGAATATACTCGTCACTGTTCTTTCCCCGCCGTTAATATACCGATTCAATGGCTCCGAGATGTGTACTGGGTGAACAGTCAATTTGAGGTTTTAACTTCTTTGTTTTCGTGTTCAATTTTCTAATTCCCGTCGTTTGTGTTTTAAATCTTCTCGCCCCCTGCAAATTATTAGCAAATTTGTATCACGCCAGACGCTGGTGATAAATACTTTCAAAATACCTCGTGGTGCAATTATATACTAAAATTTTCTTGGAATTACATTAGATATCTTTCCATTACATTTCTTTACTTACATTAAATTTCTTATTATTTTTCTGCTTCCTATCATTTTACAGATTAACTTGCCTCCTCTCTCTGTAACTGTGTTTGTAAAATGTCTGGTTTTTTTTTTCTATTTTAAGCTAGACTTGCTCAAGGCTCGACTGATATAACGATACAGGGTTGCACCCCCTAAATCATACCTCCTCTGACGTCATCACTGTCACTGTGAACAAGTTTTCACGTAAATATGACCATTATACAGTGATGTCACATGGAAATGTATCAGAGAAGGTTCTTGTAAGGAATCTCCCTGGCAGTGTTGACAGCTCTCCTATTAATGAACCTGGATTTAAAGCCACGTTTTTCAGGGATAAGGCACTGTTTAGTGCCAGAATTTCAAATTCATCGGCTGAGCGTCTCCATTTGAACTTGTTTCTACCTTGACCGTATCCGCATTGCAGAAACTATTCATGCTATCATCGTTGGAGAGTCCGGGAGAATCAGAAGTAATTCGGTGTTAGCGCCGGGACATCTGACTCTGGGGTTAAGCCATATAAAGTGGTAAAGTTGCTACTAAAGAAACTTCCCCAGCAGCCTCCCCCTATCTATTGACCTTGTCTCTAATTGCAGTGCAGTCTGGACCCCCGAGTCAGATAATGCTGTATCCTCCCCGGGACAATTACTTGACGAATCAGTGACTTCGAAAGTAACGCTGAAACCCGTGCCTCAGTCTACTAATTTGACACTTGAATTGAGAGAGAGAGAGACCTGGTAGAAAAAGAGGGGGAGAACAGTCTGACTTGACAATTGGCGTCAAACGGAATGAACTTGTTAAGATTTGTTGAAATGATGGTCTCTCTCTCTCCCCCGGCCCCGGTTTGGTCACCTCGCTTTATCTGGGTACTGTCTGAGTACTTGAGGGTAGAAGCTGGCGAGGAGAGGGTGTTAGTATTAGTTCTAGGTTATCCTACTTGATTTGCCCTCACACTTTTCAACTTTCTTCAGAATACTTTGTCTCACACCCTCTTGAGACTTGACCCAGCCTTTATCTACTTTTAAACTCGTATTGAAATGTATTTTTATCAGCTAGGTAAATTTTCGGGGGTTTAACTTCTTTACATGTCAGTTTGTCTGTAATTTGAATTTCCCAGGGCAATGAGACGCCACAATGCCGTCGTGGTCCAATGTCCATATCTTTGTAGTTAGTGTTTAGAATTTGCGGCGTCAATACCACTCCAAGAAAGGGGGGCTAAGTTTTTAATCATCATGTGGCCCACCGTTATCCGGGAGAGAGCAGGAACGCTTGTTTGGCTTCACGATAATCTTGCAAACTAGATTTAAATGATCGATTACCAATTCCGAGTTACGGCACTTTAGTTAGAGTTCGAAGCGAACAGGTTTAATTCTCATTGTGTGGGATGGTGTGAAGGATTTGGAGAACGAGCAAATTTAGGGCTTTTGTTGGGATGCCCTTCAGTTCACTTTGTATTCTCGTATCTTTTGCTTCCGATTTCAGCCAGTTTTCCGTGTTTGTAATTGTAGCACCATCACTTATGGCAATTTATGTTATCATGTGAAATTGGAAACTTTTTTAATTGGCAATTGAGAGCAATTGAATGCTATCAAATGCTCAGTATCAATGAAGCGGACAGATACTGTCTGCGGCCTAGCAGACACTTCAAGATAACATCAAGATATGATCAAGATATGAGTTCATGATATACATTATACGTGAGTTACTATGGTTTGTATGACGAGCTACTTAGCTATCTGGAGAATTTCCCCCCAACTTTCGGGCCCAGATAAGACATATGACGTGCTTCTCTGGCATTTCCCCCTCTAGCTCTACCCAAATCTGTGTTATATCCATCTTTAGTATGATGAAGACAGCTCCCCACTCTACAGCTTCCTACTTAATAAGCCGTTCGTCACATTTACCATCGCACGTGCAATTGTTCCTTTGTCGTTGCGATCTTGTTCCTAGCAGCTTACGAAATACTCCCGCCGTCTTACGTCACGTGACGAGCCGAATCATATGTACAATCCATTATCCTCCCTTTTACTCAGCTTTACTATTCACTATTGTAATCTTTTATTGTTCCGAAAAGTATTGTGTCCTTTGAAGTATTTTTCACTGCACGTTCATTTTGTGATTCGCCACCTCCCAAAGGGCCAGGCCCCTCCGCAAACGGCCACCTCCCAAAAGCACAATAGGACCCTACGTCACGGTGCCCAGCCCTGCCTGCGTGCACATTGGAGCGGTTACCATGGTTACAACCACCGCATTGTTCCTATGACGACACATTGTTAGGGTTTCGCTACAGTCAGGGAGGCGGCTGGGAAGGCAGCAGGTTGCGGGCAACACACAGGAAACAAGATGTAGACACTATACTGTGTAGGGTGTGTATATTTGTGTGTATATTTGTGTGTATCTCCCTCAGTCGCCTGGTTCACCCCTCTCTCCCCCTCTCACAGATTATCACACTATTAGCATGTATTTTAAGTGTAAGTTTTGAGTGTGAAAGTGTGAGTAATTTGTGTGTTGTTCTCACGTTTTGGTTGGCGGTAGGAAGTATGAACATATATTATTCGATTATTCACACGCTATTCACACATTATTCAGAGAGCAGTTTATGTACAAATTTTATTATGTATGATATATTATATTCACGTATGTGGGGTACATTAGAAAGAGTTTGCGAGTGTGTGTGTGTGTGTGTGTGTGTGTGTGTTTTAGCCCCACTCTAGCCTATTTACCAACTCTAATTCGCTCCTGGCTCCAACTCCAGCAGGGTAGTAGTAATGGTCAGCTCTACAAGCGGGCTTGCCATTTTAATTACGCTGCTGTCTCCCTGCTTCAAACTTTTAATTTATTTTAATTTGTCCCGTGCGAACAAAAGCTATCCTACGACTTTTTAACCTTTCATGTTTCGAGAATTTCGTTGTGTTTTGCAAGCAATTTCCCCTCAGAGCTGCGTAGCCAGTTAATATGTTTTTAATGACAAGGGATCACGATATGACTCTACGTCTTATACACGTCATTCTCCCAGTCCGCCTCGCTTGCCAACGGCTCTGTGATTAATCCCTGTGTTTATATCCTCCGTTCTGCTTCCTGATTGGCTGTTAAGTGTCACGTGGTTAAAATCCAGGACTCTGATTGGTCCAGGTGTTCTCCGCAGGGGGGTGAAGGCAGCCTGCCCCTCGCACCCCGGGAGAGCAAATACGCGTGTGTTTAATGAAGTAATGAACTTTAGTTGTTATTGCTGCTTGGTTTTGTTGTTATCCAGGTTTTACTGTGCTGTGTTTTCTTCGCATGTACCAACAGCCAATGCTCTTCCTTGCATTTCTTTGCGTGGTCTAAAGTTGCTGGGCGGTATTATTTTCTGGCTTCAACAACTTGTTCGTTGACTTCTGACCTCTTTATCTGCAGAACAATGTGACGAACCTTTCAACTACTTCACTCCAGCTCGCTAATCGTAATGTCTCCAGCTGTTTTATAGCAAACCCTAGATACTTACTATTTTAATATTACCACTGCTCTGGTTTTGCTACTCCTCCTCTCCAGAAACAACCCTTATTCGTCCGTCCTATGTCATGTACTGTTTTATGGGCTCCCCTGGCAACCGTATACAGTCTGTTTTTGTGATGAAACTCTTGGATAAAGCCCTTAGACTGGCATCCCGGCCGCAATACCTGTCCCTGTTGACCATTGTAATTATTTCTTGTTCTCCTACTAGGACTTCAATGTTGTAATACTAAATTTTAGTACCAGTTTAGGAGCTGTATGCCGGTTTGTTTGATGGTGTGCCCCGAGGAGTAGTGATGGTCGGGTGGTGATGTGTGACGAGAGGTTGGTCAGGGTGACCACCGTTACTCCTTTACTCAGGTCATTCGCCATAACTTCCTGTATCACTTTCAAAGAGGATACCTTCTCTCGCGTGATGAACGGGCACAAAGTAACTATTGAAATGATTGAGTAGTATTCGCACCCGTATGTTTTGTTTTGTCCTTAGTCCATCATGTTCATACTGCGACCGCAATCCATTCCGTTCATGATCCTTTTTACCTTTTTGGAGCCCGGCTTTGAGAACTGTTCGGTGAGAAAACGCCTGATATTTTCTCGTTTTAAATTCGTTTAAAATGTTCTCCAAGCTTCAAAGCCGTCAGCATGTTGACAGTACGTTTGGTCAATATTTTCTGAATATCCTGAATAATATGTAACTAGTGTACAATTATTTAGACTGAGTCGGACTCTTAAGGTAAACTCCCACGGCCGCCGCGGCTCTTTAAGGTGCAATCTAATAGCGTAGGTATTGTCTTCAAACCTTCGCATTCCAGGGAATAATTCCGGTATTTATCTTCGAATTAGGAAACCGTGTTCGCCCTGCATTTGCTCAGTAAAGTGATAAACATGCCTAATATCGGGGCTTTCCCATGACCCGTGCCGCGGCCAATCATCATGTATTTTGATGTGATATACACCGGCCGATACATTATGTCACAGATTACTGTAACATTTCGTAACATTTCGTTCCGTAACCCACGTGACACAAACTTGAGATCACGTGCCACCTTCTTGAGCAGGTGTTTGGGAATCCTACCTCCGCCCGGGCAGCCCCATTTTCCACACATTCCACTGTTGGTTTAAATCCTTAGTAATTCATTTCAATACTGCTGAAGTTGCTTTGTCTTTTGGAGATTGTGTTCGCTTTGAATTTGAACTCCTGCCCGGATTCAGGATAATAATGTTCTTTGTGTTTTTGATACTTTGCATCCGATACTTCTCTCCCAAAGCTTTGACAAATATGAGCATGATGCTTTTCAATCTATTTTCGGCATATTCTGTGGTATGTCTCACTGCTTCCTACCTGTGGTAGTGCTATTTCCCTTTTTTATTTACTCAAAGTTAGACTTTTGTGATGAATCACTCAGACGAAACCAAATTTAGCTCACTTGATTTGTTCATTTTTACTAAATTTGCTGTCTGATCTCAGATTTTCTCACACACCACGCACACCGGATGCCAAAAACACCAAAATCACCCCCTGATATAATCGCACAAGAATGTACTCTGTTTTTAAAAACTCAGGGGCCTCTGTTTTCCCGTTTTATGCCCCGTTTTGGAGCATGCAGCAAGCGTGATCACTACTTCACACCTGCTAAAAATAAAGTGCACTGTGGCCACCACCATATCCTTCCAGGTCCCCTGCTCTCTCTCTCTCACAGTCTCCTCACTGTGCTCTATACGCTCCAACTCTTTACTTGTTATATTGCTTTGTGTGTGTCTGTCAGTCAGACCACAGCCCAACTCAAGCGTTTTCCAGTTCTCTCCGCGCTTGCTAACCCACCTTCTCCTCACCTTTTCTCGGATAGGACAAAGACAATGATTTGCGGTGTGAGCGTGTGTGTGTGTGTGTGTGTGAGTGCGGATCTCCGTTAGTGTGAGGTGGCTGAAAGTTGGTGGGTAGTCACGTGCCTGGTCTGGTTAGTGCAGTTCGCATTTAGGACCGGACCAGATATAGAGCCTACTGAGCGGTGCTGCACGACAAGTGTTACCGTTTAGATCTCCTGCAGTCTATTTCTAGGGTGTTACCACTGGTTACTGTTTATAGTAGGGGAAACTCACTTTTATTTGTTACATATTATGTGGTACTGGTAATTAAAGGTTGCCAATTTGGTTACTAATTTTCCCTAATTTTGTTTAAAGATGTCACTGCTTTCTTCGTTTGTGGTCTATATTATTCTGATGAAATGTTAATCCAATAGAAAACGGTTTATATAAATACTTGTCATGCTTATAACAGGTGCTAGCTACTTTCACTTTCGATTTCGCAAGAAAGCACAGCCTTCGTTTTCTCTAATCTTTGCATCTTAGAATTACATCATCTGAGATAACGTCAATCCGTGAATTTCATATTTCTTTGACAGGCAATATAGCACTATGGTTGAATATTAAAAACAATATCTAATAAAGATATTTTCAAATTAACTGCTTCGATTATTGCAATTCAAAGACATTTTCCGAAGACATTTTCCAATTAACTCCTTCGATTATTGCAATATTGTATTTCTTTGACCATACTCTTGACATGACGGCATATATAAACTAAAAAATATGAGCTTCCACCAGTGAGTCTTCACCAGCTATCGCTGTGTCGCATATTGTGAAATAGACTTGTTCACGTAATTGTGGTATATTAGACTACAGAACAAGTCCCGCGGATTCCATCGTCGTATCTCTGTACTTGATTTCCGCTCATTAACGTCAATACAACCTTGTTATTAGTATTATTACGCAGATTTAACCCAAGAAATTGTGCTGTATTTACAACCGATTTCTTGACATTCTGCCCGACAATCACCTCGTTATTTCATGGCGCTTGTGTTTGCACTGAGATATACTCGCTCTCTGCCTCTACCCTTGTTCTGCAGCTGCACTGACCCTCTTTTCCTGGACCGCAATTCGCACAAAAATTGCATATCTTTTTAGAGTGTCAAGGGGTGGCAGAGAGCACACTTAGAACTAAGAATTTCACTTGTTGTAAGTCTGGTTGGAAACATTGAGGCAACTAATGGCCGATATAGACTTGACAAATTATAAAGTGCATAATTGTTAAGTACTGACGTTGTATCTGCGTACAGCCGACGACCAATGGCCATATCCAGTCGTGCAGCTCCACCGGAATTTTATTTCCAAATATTTATAATTCCAAATATGCTCCGTTTATCCCAAAAACTTGCAGAGTTTCCGTTTTTTTTCTTAAACTTCACGGGAGAGTGTGCCAAATTATTTAAACTACTTGCACCCGTGCCCACGTCACCGGTCCGTTCCTCCAATATATAAACGGGTCTTTTTCTCTCCCAAATCTGCGCTTATACGATTTGTGGGAGCCTTACATTACCACTCGGCGGAAACAACTATTTAATTTGAAAACCATACTTGTTTCAACGGTCCAGATCACTTAGGATGTAGCTAATACTATTTTCTCTGCCAGAGTCCCTTTGGGTACTGCCATTACGTCTGGTGCGGTCCCGACCACAGCACATTTTGAACGCTCATTTTCCCGGAAAAGACGTTCCAATAGTTCAACAATCGTTTGCCAGTTGAATTGCTTGTAGTAACTGATATCCTCGTTACGTGCATCGATTCTGAAAAATTGTTTTAACCGGTTTCTCATCCTGGAGAAAAGTAGATCGCGTGGTGAGGATATCGTTCAGCGCGCTTCTCTTAACCGACAACCGTGTGCTCCTTCCCCACGTGCAGCGTGCTCCTTCAACCGTGTGCTCCTTCCCCACGTGCAGTGTGCTCCTTCAACCGTGTGCTCCTTCCCCACGTGCAGTGTGCTCCTTCAACCGTGTGCTCCTTCCCCACGTGCAGCGTGCTCCTTCAACCGTGTGCTCCTTCCCCACGTGCAGCGTGCTCCTTCAACCGTGTGCTCCTTCCCCACGTGCAGTGTGCTCCTTCAACCGTGTGCTCCTTCCCACGTGCAGTGTGCTCCTTCAACCGTGTGCTCCTTCCCCACGTGCAGTGTGCTCCTTCAACCGTGTGCTCCTTCCCCACGTGCAGCGTGCTCCTTCAACCGTGTGTTCCTTCCCCACGTGCAGTGTGCTCCTTCAACCGTGTGCTCCTTCCCCACGTGCAGTGTGCTCCTTCAACCGTGTGCTCCTTCCCCACGTGCAGTGTGCTCCTTCAACCGTGTGCTCCTTCCCCACGTGCAGCGTGCTCCTTCAACCGTGTGCTCCTTCCCCACGTGCAGTGTGCTCCTTCAACCGTGTGCTCCTTCCCACGTGCAGTGTGCTCCTTCAACCGTGTGCTCCTTCCCCACGTGCAGTGTGCTCCTTCAACCGTGTGCTCCTTCCCCACGTGCAGCGTGCTCCTTCAACCGTGTGTTCCTTCCCCACGTGCAGTGTGCTCCTTCAACCGTGTGCTCCTTCCCCACGTGCAGTGTGCTCCTTCAACCGTGTGCTCCTTCCCCACGTGCAGTGTGCTCCTTCAACCGTGTGCTCCTTCCCCACGTGCAGTGTGCTCCTTCAACCGTGTGCTCCTTCCCCACGTGCAGTGTGCTCCTTCAACCGTGTGCTCCTTCCCCACGTGCAGCGTGCTCCTTCAACCGTGTGCTCCTTCCCCACGTGCAGTGCGCTCCTTCAACCGTGTGCTCCTTCCCCACGTGCAGCGTGCTCCTTCAACCGTGTGCTCCTTCCCCACGTGCAGTGTGCTCCTTCAACCGTGTGCTCCTTCCCCACGTGCAGTGTGCTCCTTCAACCGTGTGCTCCTTCCCCACGTGCAGCGTGCTCCTTCAACCGTGTGCTCCCTCCCCACACTCAGCACACTTCTTTACACAGGATTCACTGAACTCCTCCTCTGATATCTCTCACTCTCCGGCTTCCTCGTTAACTGGGAGCATGTCTTCCGGGATCTAATCCTCTGTCATTGCCCTGCGGTTTTACTCACAGTTTGTTGTACTGATCTTTCATCATTCCGCGATTGATCTATTTTTATCATGCTCCTAATCTGGGATTTTTCTGCCATAAAACCGATACAGAGTATCTGATTTGTTAATGTGTGGGAAAGCTGAGCGTTAGATCATTTGTGAGAAGTAATTTGTGCCCCTCGCACATTATTGCCGGCCCGCCCCAATCCTCCCAATTCATCCCACAATTCACACTTTCACAGCTCCCCTCCTTTTCTCACTGTACCAGAGGTGAGCGTGTGCCGCGGGTCTCTCGTCCTGCATTTTTATGTTTTAACTGGAGGTCCTATATTATATGTTTTATGTATTCTCATTCGATTAGTGTTACAGTAGTATAATAATTGTACTGCACTCTGCTACATGACCCACTCACATATTGTGAGGACATATCTGACGAAGTGTCCATGTGTTATAAGATTATGAGAGATGTGAGATTTGTTTCGTTAGACCGTGCCTCTAGACAGCCCCCCAAATTGAGCTGACTGTCGGAGGAGGAGGAGGGGGGGACAGAGTTGCTTATATCACTGGTATACCCGACACATAATATGTAGCTTCTAGGGCACTAGTCCCAGGGAGTACTTGTCGTCTTATCTACCTCACACCTTCTCACCCAGTCAGCACGCTGCCCTGCTGTCACGTGGGTTGTGGCGTCCAGTGAAAGGGCTGGGTTTACTGCACGTGACGTCAAGTAGTCGATTAGGAATGGTTATTTTTCGATCTCCCCCAACCAAGGAAGGTTTGTGGTGCGATCTGTGAAGTTTTAGAGTCGGCTTTGTTTCCCAGCTCCCCTCCCTTGCCCCCTTGTTACTAGTGGTTGTTACTTTGCCTGATATTGTTCGTGGTAGCCATTGTAACGACTTCAAGTTGCGCTTTCGTCAACCAAATTGACACTTGACAAATTCCAGATTAAATCAGATTCGATGGAGATACTCCCCCGTCAAATTATTATAAGTATCATCTTTAATAGATCCAGGCTGAGTTGTATCCATTGTTCTGGATACTCCCCCATCAGATTACGAGTATCAACCTTAATCGATCTGGCTCAGTTCTATTAAAGGCTTTCAATATTTTACCACCGTGTTGCAGGATGATTTTTCTTGGAAAATCATAACATTTTGTTGACAAAGTTTAGAGTGAACGATTTTGTACTGCTCCTTAATGAATTATGAACGATCCGTTTTTGGAATCAGCCCTATTATATGGTCTACGAGAACATGATAAACAATACTAACCAAACTTCTTTTAATAGCAAGTACAAGTGATTAATAATGTAAAAAGGGAGCTAGTTAACAATGCCAATACTATTTACTGAGTCCCCACCCTATACCTCCTCCATCTTCACCACCACCCCTGGAAAAGATCTATACGTAAGTTATTTGTCTTTTTAAACATGTTTTAGTGTTTAAACTTCTTCTGATTACTTAAACATGCTAATGTTACATTAATTACATTATCAATTATGTATATTATGTTTCTAAAGTTAGAATTTTGTCCCTGTACTAAGAAATTTAGGTGCCAATTTGGGCTATAAGGACGTTACATTTATTCTGTTAGTATTGGAAAGCTTATTGCATATCTACATGATATTTTGTCTGAATATTTGAACATGAAACCGGTGGTTTCATGTCGCGGTTTCAAACCGCGACTCATCAAATCTGCTTCTACCCTCATTACTGGCAACACGCTAAAGATAATGAAACATAACACTTTAAATTGCCGGCTCTCAATTACAAAACAGAGGCTCACCGGGCCTGAGACTAATTCAGCCTCCAACTCAGCACCCTCTAAAGCACACAATTGTATTATCTCAAAGTAGACCTGTGTATCTAGCTGTAATTGTACCAGCAGGGCGGAGATCTAGACTTGCCCTGAAAAATGTCACGTTTTCACCGCTTTTGTCGGCACTCAGTACCTTATGAAATTCCTTCTCCAAATTTTATCAGGAATATTTTTTACCCTCGCCACGTTTAAAAATATCCCCTTACATGTACCTCAGGACATGACTGGCATATTATGGGTCATGGTTTGGCCGATAAATTGCTTCTTGGGTTTCAAACATTTTAGCGACCAAAATAAGAAGTCCCACCGGGAACCTAAATGAAAAAATCCGTTTATTCATTACAGCATACCGGCGGGAGATATTATTAAATCAGAACTGGTTAATAATATTCAAAGACACTGACTGGAAAGTTATTTTGAGGTTAGCTAGCCCCCCTAGAAACTGACACTATAATTAGAAACTAACACTGTGTTCTTCCCTCAGAGTTGTATAGAGTACTGTGAACATGGAGGTTTGTGTAGTCTCACTGGACCCGGGATGACAGCAGTTTGCACGTGTGCGCAACGATATAGAGGACAGTTTTGCGAGGAAATGGTCTTTTGGTTCGAGTTCTTTTTCCAGGATAACAAACGTGAGTCTAATTTAATTGTGAGATTTTGACAGACTTGGGATCAGTAGATTCATCAATTTCTTAAAGTTTTCGCAATGAATTTGATGAGATGCCCCCTCCTAATGTGAAGCAAAGTAATACCTCGAGAAGACGAGAATGGCTGACTTAATAGCTGCACAAAGGTGTCCGCCCATTCTTTGTCCTAAACCTGCTAAAAATAACTTGCCTAGCTTTATTCTTGACAAATGACAGTTTTGTTCAGAGCTTGTTTGAGCGAGCGCTGACCCTTATATTAATTGTTCTATTATCTGAAGAATTTTTCGGGTTTCTTGGAGCTAAATTAAGACATAAACCGGACGGGCGGTCAGACAGACAGACGCTGTCAGGACATTCCAGAGTTAAACCATAATTGAAATACCAAGACTAAACCAAGGACTGAGTTGTTTTACCCATGGTGGTACCTGGCAACCATCCCCACTAGAACCCACGTGATGCCCATATAAGGTAACTCCCCAGTCCCCACTAAAACCCACTGTCTCTGGATCTATGAGATCCACTGAACCACTAATCGGACCCAATAGGATCCCGACAGAGCGTCTTTGCTGGTCCGCGGTCATCCACCAATGGCGAGGGAGAGTATCAATCACGTGACCGACTTCAACCTATCCCGTGCCGATACCAAATGATTATAATTTCAAAGTTTACATGTTATGCAGTAATATGTTATTACCGAGTGTTTGCTCTCTTTTATTTATTCTCAAACCATGAAACTCTGAGAAAACTCCTTTCCCTGGCTAAATCAAAATTAAAACCAAAAGAGGGCGCTAAGAAACATGTCTACATAACAAAATGCGATCAAATAGAGTGGAATTTGGGGAAGTTTCCTTCTCATAAAATCCTACTTTGATCTTTAGGCAGCATTATTACAAGTCACCCAGATCTGTCACTTTATTTTATATTCATTAATGGATAAATTTAACAATAAATAAACGAACAGCAATGTAGTATTAATAGCAGTATTTCCAGTGACGGGTACTGGTTTCGCAGCCTTGTTCTGTATCGGCGTCTCACTCGTCATCCTAACGTTTTCCGGCGTCTTATTCTACCGCAGATAGTAAGTACTTTAAACTTTAATACTGATGTTATAATTTATTGATGAGAGTTAATCAGATGTTTTTGATTGTTCCGCTTGAAAAGTAATTGAATTGATTTCTATGCTAAAACAGCCATCATCAAGTGCAAGTTATTGTCAAACGTGAATTAGTTTTCTTCACGATTAATAATTGTAAATATTGCACCGTGTCAATGAAAATAATCGTCAGTATTCCACCGTAGCAATCTATCATCTTCACCGCCTTTTAGCGTGTATTGAATATAATACCATATTATCTGTACTCAGTATTTACGAGTTGTGGCCATTGTTTCATTTCATCGCATGCACACAATTCAAGTGGCTGTTTTTACTTCTATAAACTAATATCGCTAAAGTAATCGATTGTTTTCTTATCCTTGATTCCGTTTCAGCAAGAGGTTAAAGTCAAAATCGCAAGAGAAAGTCCACTTTCAGCAGAACACAAACCCTATATTCGACGATGTAAGTTGCGATCAACTTTTGGTTTTATACTCAACTTGAAATTTCTCTGACAATTTCTTATCATTGTCCTCTGTCAAGACATTTTGTTTCATCTTGACAACTATCTTCATTTTAAAGAATGTTTGATCGTGTTAATCTGTATCGATTGGACACATTTAAGAGTTTCAAATAGAAAATAGGCTCAACCTTGGTTTATGAAGCACAGTACCCGGACTGTTTTATGTAAAATAGTGGCCCTAAAATGTAGCACATTTAGGGTGACCCTTTTACATGCCTTCTTAAGAGATTATTATGTAATTTCTCTGTCGGGAGCCTGTATAAACCTTACGCTTTTAGAATTAGCTTCCTGGTTTTCATCACGTGGCTGCACTAAAGATACCACGTGTTTCTTAACTGTCACTCCGATTTTCCCTGATGGGAGGAAATTTTCATACAGTACTTTGAATCCATCTTATGAAATACCGCCGCCCCAGTTCCACGCTCATTTGTTTGTGTTCACCCCTAGCCTCTGATTAGCTGGTTTGTGTCACGTGGGTCTGATTGCGTGATCTGATAGGCTGATAGCTGTACTACAGCCCTTCTGACAGGTCCTTCCTCTTTTAATGGCTACATTATCTCTTTTGGGCTGGCACCCTGACCATTTACCACAGCAAGTATACCTACCTTCCAATACTCTTCCTACTACTGGAAACTCAGCAGCGAATCCTAACAGAGCCTAAAAAGTAAAATATACTTAATGTAAGACATACTTTTAATATAATGAAACCCAAAAAGTGCCCCAAATATAAGTTTTGTAATCTTATTTGACTGAACTTTTGACACGTTATTATATTTCAGGTCCACCCGTCGAGCAGGCAGGAGTTGCTGGTGTACCAAGTAGCGCAGCCCCCCACCTCCACTTCTCCTCCTCCTAAACCCTGTTCACCTCAAGGACAAGGTATCTGCTATCTTGTCCCCACCTCACCCGAACCCGCTCCTGAAGCTGCCTGGCAGGACTTCCACAACCCCGGATATAGACAGAGTTATATCGATAGTGGAGTCTAGCGCATCACGCGCCGCACGCAACAACCGCGTGTAAACCTCCTCTGAACTATTATTTGTAGGGCACTAACTTATTGATGTTGTATTTGATGAATTTAGACAATGAATGAAAGTGCACACCACGAACCATGAAAGTGACTGCCGCGTACTGGCGCCGTGTATAGCGGTATTTATTAGACAATGATATGTCAGAAATCCGACTAATGTCAAACATTCGCTTCATATTTGAAGTTTTTACGATAGTTCTTGTTGGCGCAGCTCCACGTGCATTTTTGTAATGATACTGCGCAGCTCCACGTGCATTCTTGTAATGATACTGCGCAGCTGCATGTGTGAAATTTAATGATGCTGCACAGTTGCGTGTGCGGACTGTTATGATGCTGCAAATACAAGACCCGCTCGAACTCTTGATGACGAGCTTTACCGAGTCAGATTCAATGTGTACATATGAAACTTGTAATTTTTAATATTAATTTTCAAGCTATATTTGGAGGCGATAAACTTATTGATTAATTGATACATATCTCGAAGCAACAAACTTTGGTGATGTTGTATGTGCTTTTTGTTGCATGGAAAATGTGGCTGCCATGAAAGTAGATAAACTTGATCCACATTATTTGAATGAAAAATTTGCTTGAAGCAAAGATACTTTAAAAATTTGCTGCTCCAGAATAATTTTATCCAATGTAAGTTGACCTCTTACTGAAAAGCCGTTCTTTTGATTGAACGAGGAAATTTTAGGGAGTGTATCATTTATTTTGTAGTTGGGCTAGGTTAGGTTACGAGCACACTTGATATCAAATTTAAAGTTAAAAAGATAATAAGCTAAGATTAGGGCAATGTTGACATTGGTTTACATGTTATAAATGTTTGAAATTTTGATGACATTTATGCAGCTTTGTATTTTTTAATGAATTGGATTTATAAAATCGCCCATGTTTGATATAGCCATCAGAATTTTGTGTAATCCTCTGAAACAAGTCCTTAATATCTCAAAATGGTGCTAGATCTGTTTTAAGAGTAGATCCTGAAGATTTATCTAATTTGTTAATACTCTGCTCAAATTATCAACTTAAAATTCACATTATAAATTGAGTTAAGTTTTTTTTCAGTTATATTGTTAGGAGTAGTTATCATAACTATATTTTCTTAAATTCTCGACTTTATTTTAATGGCCAAAGTTCGTAGCAATTTTGAAAAATGTCATGATATTTTGTAGGATTAAAAAAGATTTTTCTTCCTTAAGAATTTATTGATTTTAGCCAACTTTAACTGCATTAGAGCAGGCTAATTTGGTATTTGATTTAATAAATAAAGATGTTTTTACTCTTTAGATGCTATATTATTAACCTCATTTTGGTTTTCCCTCCCAAAAACTTAATTCCTGTTTCATTGTTTAAAAAAATAGGAAAAAGAAATAATTCTTGTCCCGGGTTTTACAAATAAAATGAATAATTGAAATACAGGAAGGAAAATGTTAGCTAATTTTCCCCACAAATTGAAGTTTAAATCATACCCATAACCCTAAACCCAAAACATTTAGGAAGTAGTATCAGAAAGATAGAATGGCAGAGGTTTTACGGCATTTCATTCATCATTGGGTGGTTCAAACCGTACAAATAGTATATACTTTCTATCGTTAGCAATCGATTAGACATTCGACATGTTTTTTTTTAATTTCACTCGGTTTCAATTTACTCCCGGCTTTAGATTACGACTCAATCTAGGTAAACTATAGGTAAAAATATAATATTAATCATAAGCTAAAAGTACTAATCTTTGTATTCTAAATGGGGAAAAAGAAGAAACATTGTCAGTCAGTCGAGAAAATTGTCAGTCAGGCTATATGGCAGCTTTGTAGATGTTGTGACTATGCTAGTAGTGGTCCCAGGCTTGCGACTGGAATTGCGGTGTTAAATCGATTTAATGGTATACCAACGATCCACCTCCCACTTGTTGTTTGGTACTTAGCATTAATAGTGTTAGCTGTAGCCATTTATAGCAAGAATCTTAAAACTAAAGGGGATGACAAGGAAAAGAGGAAGGAAAAAGAATAACGGAACAAACAATTAATTAAAGTATTTATAGGAGCATTAGATATTGTAATTACAAGCTTCAATAATAAATCACTGACTAAAACTTCTAATTAAAATGACACTTGGTACGCTCGCCCATTTTCACTGGTCAGTCTGAACTTCGGTTTAGCACGTTGTACACTTATTCACCTAAGTTTCAGAATTTGTTCAGTTTAGCAGAGTTAGTACCCGTGTTTCAATAAATCAAAAGATATCAGGGGAGTTCTTTAATAATGTTATGGTCATCTAGAATACCGAACTTCCTGAAAACGTTATCATATTTCCTCAGACAACGTTTAATGCCTTTAATCAGTCTATCACGGCTATATCCTCTATCAATTAGAATTTTGAATATTTTGTGAAGATGGGAGGTAAAGAGACGATTAAGATTTAGTCAGTAGGTTGAGGTAAAGGATAAGGTCAAATTGTTATCGGAACTAAGAGCTGTTCATTTGGTAAATCGATCGTGGATAGCAGTGTAGAAGAAATGTAAACAAAGTTTTGATTATTAGATTTGCTCTAGAAATTCACGATGAAAGATTTGGACTTTCATGGATAATAAGCTTTCTCAAGTGACGATGTTGAGTTTTTGCAAAACTTACACTACATTCCATAGTTTTTAAAAATTGCTTCATTGTTTAACACTGTTAACTTAAACTGCGATAGTCAGATACAAAGCCCAAAAAAGCAAATCATTCCTGCACAAAGACCTATATCCTATCTGACTGGGATGAAGAATTTTTTGAAGCGGGAAATAGACATTACGGGGAGCGCGGTCGCCAAACGTAAAAGTAGCAGTGTAGTTCGCGCAAAAGAAAGCCACGAGACCGCGCGCGCGCTCCATTAACTCAATATCATTAGCACCAAAGTAAAGATGATAGTATACTATGGTGTATGGCGCGGCGCACCATACCATTATTCGTACCACTAGCTTGTATGTCTATGTAATAACTTGTCATACGTTGTATGACCCGCCGCACACGAAGTGCGCGGCTCCCCCTGTATCGTCACCATAGTGAAACGACCGTGGGGGTCGCAACGTGATACAAGTGATAACCTACCAAGACGCGCGCCGAGTTGTGAATTGGACTCGTCGACGGTCTTGAAACAAATACGAAGTAGCGCGCGCCGGGCCAGATCATTAACAATGGTCAACTGCTTATTCGAGTCTTCACAAAATGATCAAAGCACAAAATTAGCGATGGGAGCTACACTACATACTATTATGTGTCAGATTTAAACTTTTATCGCTTGCGCGCTTATTAAAAGTATATACTGCTATGACACAAATTTTAATATTTAGTTTAGCTTATAGTCGACAATTCAACAATTAAAACTGCACGTTAAATTGAATTTACTAAGCAATTTCAAATTTGGTTAATTATTGTAACGCGATGCACTACTAAACCGCGCCGCGTTTCAAATTATGCTTCTCGTAACCGAAATGTACCATACCGAGCGGTGAAGGATTGATATAAATATTTTCAATCGATTTAATAACGATTTAAGTTTTTGGATCGTGTACGTAACCTTCGAAATTAACAAAATGTCATAATAGGATATTCGTATGAGCTCACTACGAGACACCAGCCAACTGTTCACAATTCACATCACTAGCTACATCATTTATACTTTCTTCGTTTTAGTGTATAGTATAGTATGCTAGAAGATTGCTTTTTGTTACACCAGTAGATTTAACTATTAACAAGGTTACGGATTGAAAGATTTGTGTTGTTTTAATTCGAAATGAAAAGCTTGAATATATAATGTTTTCAAGGATCAGTCTTTGGTTACCCTGTCAAATGATTAAGAATCGTTTTAGGATACCCCTTATATATATATATATTAAATACATCTGAATTGTAGTGTACATCTTACTATAATATGCTGTAAATTTTGGATATGAAGGTCCCCTTTAGTACTTTAGTACTATACACCCTTAAATGGAAGTCATAAATAATAATAATAAGTACCTGATTTTCGAAAAAGTCTGACAAGGTTTCGTATCAGCTGCCACAACCTCTACGTTGAAAGGGGCAGATACGAAACCCCTCTTGTACCAAGAGAAGGACGTTGGTGCACTTACTGCTTTTTCAGTAAAGGGCTCAAACCTATCGAGGACGAAAGCCATGTATTAATTGACTGTTTGCTTTACTCCTCAGTTAGGGAAAAATTCAACTTTTATCCCCAAAACATCACTGACCTAGCCGGTCTGCTCTCCAACAAAAATCTAGATCCTACCAAATTTACTGCCACAGCAAGAGCAATCCATTCAATTCTCTCTGTGAACGAACAATATACAGCCTATTATAAGAGCCCAGATTTCCACTCAAATACTGGCAAGTGCATAATGCTCTAGGAACTCAAAATAAACTCATGAACCATACAAATTTGATTTACTTAAAGAAAATAGCATTATATTATAACATTTCTATTTTATCCCTACACATTTGTAAATGATTAGAAGTGTGTAACTTAAATTATTTCAGAATTATAACTATTGTGAACTCAATAAAATAATTATCACTTTTGTATCCTTGTATCCTTGTATCCTTGTATCCTTGTATCCTAAGAAGATCTCACTGAAAAAACATGACCTCGCTGCTGTCACTCACTCAACTCTACAAACCGTTCTATGACTTGTAAAAAAGGAGGCTATGCTCTCCTCAAAACTAGTCCCATAAGATCTGATGCAAATGCCATACTTGATTCTGGACGTCTCTAGACAAGATATTTACAGACGTCCATCCAAAAACCATAACCAGCGTAAAAAGTCTTAGTACAATAATAGGTTTACTTAAATTGGGTGAGGAAGCTAACCCACAGTTTTCAGAACCATCAGAGATTATGTCTTAAAAGATGACAAATTCCTAAAGCGACTTGCCAACCACAACACATCCGATATGTAAGGAATATAAATAAATAATAATAATTTAAACTCTTAGATTATAATGGTAGAACAACTTAAAATGCACAGGTGTGCCACGAAAACACGTCAGGATAAAAGAAAACTGATAAACAATCCACATTTCGGTTCCAAACCATGGAAACATTGACACACTAGGAGAAAAACAAAATGTTTTAAATATACACTTTAAAAGAGTCCAATGACATGCAACAAGCAACAACTTATATTAAATAAAATAAATAAATAAATAAATAAATAAATAAATATTGAATTCTGTAACTAATAGGCAGCCAATGAAAGTCTTTCAGAGTGTCTCCTGGATGATCATGTTTATATAGTTCTTCTATAGCTTTAGCAGCAGCATTCTGAACGAGTTGAAGTTGATGGATTAGATTGTCACTAATTCCATAATAAAGAGCGTTGCAGTATTCCAATTTGCAGACGTTGATGCTGTTAACAAGCCTGAGCTGAGTTTTACTAAAGAGATATTTTCTCCTGATAACATTCCTAAGGAGTCTGAAGCAATGTTTTTTGAGGGACATGATTTGAGGCTCAAAAGTAAGATGATGGTCATATTGGACACCAAGGTTCTTTGATGTGCTGACAAAATTTTTAGTCTAACAAAATCAGTTTCATGAAAGGAAGGCTTTAGATTTACCTGATAAACGAATTTAATGCGATTTGAATTTGTTTCTGGATTTGCTTGAATCTAGACATGTAGTCTAGATAGCTTTTTGGTGATCAGGTTTTTCAGTCTTGTGATATTTATTTGTGTGCTTCTTTTGTGTGTCAGTTAGTATAGTGTCCATCTTTCCAAGTTGTAAACAGTACTATTATATTAACTTCATGACCATGGCCTGGTGGCAACGGACCTCTTTCATAGAATATATTTACTTTTAATTTGTTGCTGATTCTGCAATTAATAAATGTATGAGAAAGTGATTTTCATAACTATTAGATGACTGCCAAATCCTGTTTACTCTCTGGTAGACCCTTTACTCTACATATCATTGACAATACTATTGTGTTTATGATATTTTACTCTGGTCCTTATCCTTGTCACTAGTCCCAATTGGATTCACTTTACACAAAACATGAACGTTTACAATTTAGACGTAAACATTGGCACGATATTTATTAGAAAGCAAACAGTATAAAATAATACGTGCGTGCGCGGCTTGAGCCGCGCCGCATAACAATTTATGCGTCTAGGTAAAATTATAACTTATTTATTTAAAAGAAAAAACCACGGATAGTTTTAAATTTACATAGTCGTATAACTATAATCAAGTTAATCCTGTTTTCAAGAATGCACGGCTTTGGCGGCCAGTTATTGACTTGTACATAAAATTGAATTTTAAATAGAAATGTGAATGTATTAAAATTTAAAACTTTCAAAACGGAGGCTTATAAATATTATTATATTATGATTGTAAAATAAAGGATAAAATTTTAAATTTGTTTCACTAAAATTTGTTTCACTCTGGCCCAAATTTTCGTAGAAATTTTGTAAGGCCGGCCCATTTAATTTCTAAATTTCTTAACCTTGTCTTCATGAAAATTCTCTTGAAAGTGACTTTATAGCTGTTTCTGATAGAAGGACGATATCTATCGGCTGCTTTTGGTCCCATGAAAAAAATATTGTTATCGGCCGGTCAAAGGTCAGCGTTTCAAGTGTGTAATTGCATTGTGCGAGTATATTCTCCTACATTATTTAAGCAATGGCACTGAAACTTTCAGGATATGTTCTAGGGATCATTTAAAGAGATTGTCTGGCTCTGGCCAGAATTTTGAGATAGGCCTTCGATTTTGAAAATCTTGGAGTTTGGACCTCTAAAAACCATAAAAAATCAATCCTAATTTACTTTTTTTACAGTTATGGCATTTAATGATATGATAGCACTATGGTGTGAACTTGGGGGGAAATGTTGAAGACAAATGGCGAATACTCCAAACGTTGTCACTCGTAACAGAACTCGTGTCAGATTTACCAGTAAGTATATATAATGTGTATTAGTGTTGTTGAAAAATGTGAATATTTGGGCAAGTTTAACATAAGTTACTAAATAATTGTACATATAATTCATTAACGATAACTAATGATAATAAACATGGTTCCATCTGTGAAATGTGTTTAGATAATAACATTGTTGTCAGCTAATAATTGTATTTCTCCTCCAGTCGTTTGTGCCAAAGGTTTGGCAAAGAGAGAATTTTTCCGGTTACCAGATGTGTTTGCTAAGATAATTGTGGATGGAAGTGGACAGCACTACACCACTAAAACTGTCAAGGGTACTCTTGATCCAAAATGGAACGACCACTTTGACTTGTACGTTTAAACATTCTTAATTATAGCATATCAAAATATGTGTATTTATTTCAACTTCAGGTGTCACTTCATGAGTTGGCTTCATAAGACAGTGATGTTTTATTAGAAATAAACTATTGTCACTAATTCTTCTTTTTCTGCAGGTTTGTAGACCATTTAGATTGTATAACGATACAGTTATGGAACCATCGGAAATTGAAAAGTAAAAGCTGCAAAACTGTCCAAGAGGCATTCTTGGGGTGTGCCCGAATAAAGGGCCAGTACATCTTCAGAATGAAAGACAACGGATGTAAGTTTTAATTTTGTTCTCTTAAAGCTGGCCCCTCAATCTTAGTATGATCTAAGTATGCTAAAAAAGGTATGCAACATTTAGGGGCCAGCTTGTCGACATTATTACCTCCAGTTTAGTCTATTTAAACTCTTTTGATGAGGCTTAGTTAAAATATAACCTTCTCTAACATTCTTTTGTTTATTTATAGCTTGCACAGGACCTTTGAATTTTGTTGTAATTTCATTGATTCACTCTAAATCTCACATAATGCTTACTTCTCGCAGGTCAGCGATTAGCACTCAGTAAAATCAGACATGAAGACCCAGAAATCAAGGGTATTATAGTGATATCATTGTCATCTCGAGATTTGTTTCATCCCCCTTCTCCTACGTTCTCTGACCCAAACGAGCTTCCGGAGGGGTAAGTTTTTTAAATCTTAGGTTAATAATTAAGTTGTTTGTTAAACAACTAATTTCATTATTTTTATTTTACAATCATGACCAACACGCTATTTATTCTCTCCCCGCGCTGAGAAATTCTACAAAATTCTTGAATAATAACGTAATATACAGCATTAACAGCGTTACATATTATGAGCGTATGGTGCGAACTTACAATTTGTCACATATTTACATGTTATAACACATAAAGTATAACTCATTGAAGCGTCCCAAATTGTACACTCTTAATAATCAAAACAGAGGACCAGTGTCTAGCTCCACTCTGATCGTAAGGTCATCACCCAGCATGGTGCGCGGGAGCCAGCTGCTTTCTATGATTAGGCATAATGTGATACGTTCAACGGCCACTTTTTAAAAACTAGAGAATTTAGCAGCGTATATCTTAATACCTTCTTTCTTTTCATACCTCAACTTTAAACAAAGAAATTAAATTCTAAGAACGTAACAAAAGAAACGTTTTGCATATTTTCCATACATTCCCCAAATATTTTACACGCTCTCCTGCTCACAGATGGGAGGAGAGGACTAACAGTAACGGTAGACTTTACTATGTGAACCACGTTACACGCACAAGTACCTGGGAACGGCCTACCAGGTAACTTAACATTTTGTATTGTTATATAAATTGGTTTTTGTATGTTTGTTATGTGTGGGATTTTAAATATTTTAAGCCACTTCAAGGTTGAATAAACAAAATCTTCTGTGTTGTTCTGGAATTTAGATTATTGTGAGTGTGAAGATAGTGTTCTTGAAGGGGGGACTATTTTTGGAAGGGGTGATTTTGGCTAGATTAAGGAAGTTATAATTCAAGTTGCATGACTTACCTTTTGGAAGAGACAATAAATTTGGAACTTTCTACCAAATTCTTGATGACAGTCTGTTGCTCCTTTGAACATTCCAGAATGTTCCAGCTCATCCACTAATTCACGTTAGGTATTTCGTGTACTTAATGGCCGTGTTTCATTATATTTTTAATATTGTTGTACTTGTGTTGTACGTGTTTGTTCATGAATAAGGCCAAAATGTATCGTCAGTACTTGTAATACAAATCTTGTAATACAAATTACGGCTGTAATGTATTGTAACTCTCTCGACATACAGATGACCGGGCTAACTTATCCTGGATATATTACATCATACTCTCATACTCCTGCATGTCCAACAAAGTTTACTGCTGAGATTATCAAAGCAGCTTCAATGCAACAAGTTCCAGCTGAAAACCGTATTATTATGCACTTTGTAACTAAACAGACGAGCTCATTAATCCTCGGTGAGCATATAACCATGAGAGCTTAAATGAATCCAATCAATAATGGTTTGAGTGGAGAGAGGAGAGAGAGAGAGAGTGAGAGATGTTTAACGTGATAAAACAGAGCTGATACCAAAAAAGGCATAATGTGCTGTAAACCTCGTGTAGTTTGATATTTCTGGTGATATGTCTGTTCAAAGGGCCCGAGGGCGCCGGCAGCGGGTATCTCACCATATCTGTGTATCATACTCGGACATATGTTTGTGAAATCTGGCTAAAAAATTCATGAATATTATGTTATGTTTTGACGTTTCCGTGGCGTGTTATACACGATCATTTAGCTGAGAAATATTCGTGTCAACTTCTTCGCGTGTTGCTGTTATTTCTTCAACTTTGTTTTGATTACACTCTCTTCTTTGTAAAATTATTGGTCTACAGTCCCCCTCCAGCGATGTACCTTCTCCGTCTGCAGTGAGTACACAGCATGCTCACATGCTAACCAATCATCCCAAGATTTTAACCTTAAAACATTATTTGAATATTTTACATTCCTCTGAGCGTCAAGAAATTAAAATAACCTGTATTAGTGAGCGTGAGTTTAATAAAACGGCTGTACGTTGAGATAAACGTGTATCGTACATGGAAATATTCAAAACATTACTTTGTGAAGCTGGATTTGAACCAAGTCGCCAAGTAGCAGGTGTTTTGTATAGTGTTACTGACTGCTATGTGATGTAGACGAATTATATATAGTTGTGTAATGTGCGTGTGTTTTGGACTGCAAGGAAAACATACAAGGGGTTACTTATTTAGCTTTGATAATAGTTGGCATAAATTACTAAAGTTGTCCGAGTTTCAATGAAGATGACTCAGCCGTTTCCGTTTTATGACGCACGGAAGGTTTATTAAAACCGAATAAAACGGTGTGATTTTTCTGAATAATACGATGTGTATGGATGTGTGCGTGTTGAGGAAATCATACAAGTAAGAGTTTGATGTAGTTTTTAATGAAGCCGAGATGGTACCGGTGACCAGTGTGACTGTGAGAGGTGAGTATGTGTGGTATGTTATCTCTGTGAGAGTGCCGGGCAGCATGTTCACTCACTTTGCAGGTTTCTGTTCTTCTCTGTCTCCAGTGGTAGTGCAGTAGGAGATGGTTTACTTTTACGCTCACTAATAATGTGAGGTCCGTGACAGGCTCGAAGGGGTCACATGACAGGCTCTCGTGTCTCTAGTACTCTAGAAGGTACTCCATATGTCCTCTGAAAGTAAGAACATCCTAACAAGGTTTCCAGGGCTGACATCACAGCAGCTGTCACGTGATACTTTAAAGTAGGGTCATGTGACACCTGGAGTAGGGTTGGTTCTGACAGGCGCGTGTCAGAAATCAGAACATACTCAATCAGCTCAATTGACCATGTTGTAGATTGAATTAAACTGAGAGGAGGAGTCAATTAAACAGGACTCTCAATTGTCAGCACTATCCGAGCAGGGAGTGTGTAACCACGTGTGTAACCACGTGTGTAACCACGTGTGTAGCCACGTGTGTAACCACAGTTACATACACACAATACACCGCACCATTCACGCTCTCAGACATAGACAGGGACGCAATGTTACCTTCACAGACTGTTACAAAAGAAATTCCTGAGTCAAGTTGAAACTTACCAGCTTACCTGTCTCCCTCAAATGCAACATCTATTGTAACTCTCTTGGTATATAATATTCCAGTAACTACACTGCTGATAAATCTCTCAATATTCCTGAAACGTCCTGTTTTTCTCATTAAATGTCGCGACATTGTAACTCATGACTTGTTGAGACTATTTAACCAACACAGACCATTAGTAAAGGTACTGTGTCTGGGTCTGGATACTACTGGGGATATTGCTTCTCATTTACCACCACGGTTCTCGTGTTCACTGATCCCTTCACTTATCTCAAACGGACCTTACAGATTGCTGATTTGATACTGAAACGTGTACATTGTCTCGCTCTGTAATGATAATATGGAGGTAGGATGTAACCTGGTAGCCTGGTTATAAGGTAGCCTAGTTACCTGGTTACCCGGAACGAATCAGCAGATTTCTTGGTGTTACGAGCTAATGATCACTGACTTTCCCATTAGACAGAAACTTATATTATGTAGATTGTAGCTGGTACTAGTTACTGAGCCGCCCTTAATTGTTATTTAAATCAGTTTCCCTAATACTAAGTACAAGTATTAACTGCTTTCTGAATTTGTAGTTCACTAAATGTTGTAACACCGCCCTATCCACTACTTTCCCCTCCCTGATCCCCACGCGTCTCGCTCAAAACTGCGATATTTGCCCAGATAAGTAACACTGTAATTACCTGAATAGAGGCACAATTAGGGTAATCACCTGACCCACTGCTCCACCAATCCCTGTGCGAGTTTGTTGCTTGCTGCTCAATAAGCACACGGTTATAGGGTCACGTGACTTACACTGGCCAATCACAACGGTTAATTTAAAATGGAGGATCGCTAATGTAGGGCACCGACACTGAAAACAAATATTGTTACAAATTATAGTGCACATTTAGATCACTCAAAGACTCTGGCCAGGCGACCGAGCCGGCCAATCGGGACGCCGTTTTGTGGCCAATCTGCCAGTAGGAGAGGGGTGTTTATAACACGTGTTATGGTGGTAGCCAATAAGAACAAACGTGGAGTCGGATTTCGTTAAAAGCATCAAGAGACGCTGTTTTGGCAAATTGGTAAAGGTTTATTGTACGGGGTATCTTGTAGGAGTAATGGGACCTCCGTTAATCGGTCATTCTCCAAGCATTATAAATCTTTGTAATACACCCACCCTCTGACGGATTATGCACTCAACCCGCATTAAATTGGGGTTTAAGGGGTGGTGCAAGTGGTAACCTTGAACAAGAGATTGGCGCCGGAATTACGAGAAATACGCCTAGAAACCAGCCTAAATAAAGCCTAGATACCGACTGTAATGGCGTTTAACCCAAGACACCAGGCAGCAACATGGGAGGGGAGTACTTGGTATTATAGAACAGCTAGCTAACGTCATCTCACCAGAACAATCCCTTATCAGTATATATAAAATATATATATTTAATGTAACTGTTAACCGTCCTGCCCCTACCGACGAGCATCACCACAATCCCGACAATTGTACTAGTACACCGTCTACCCACCGCTAGTGACACAGCCACTGACCTCGTGTAACTCTCACAGTTACTACTCAAACCGTAGACACGGGCCTTCAGACTGGTTACCGTCCCTCAAACTGGTTGTTAGAACAGGATTGAATTATCACTTTAAATTGAACCGAATTCTTGACAACCGACTTGCGGAGTAAAAAGAACGTGGTGTCGCAATAAGATACGAGTTATTATCAGTAGGACCTGAATGTGGGGTTTCTAATTGAAGGGCTGAGTGATCGATCCTGAGTGCTAAATTTTCTCTTAGACTTCCTGACGTCCGATAGATTTTCCTGTCGGGAACCTCTCGTGAGCCTCTCTCTTGAATATGTAAGGTGAATTATCTCACTTAATGCGCTCGCGCATGAGCAGGTGTAATGTAAGCAGAGGTATGACCTAACTGGTGGGTCACGTAGGGCTACTCTTCTAGCTTACTCGGAGTGAGGTCACCTGGTGTCAGCCAGTGAGCCCGGTGTCATCTGGTGAGCAAACAGGACGATTTGTGGCAAAACGCGGCTGCCTTTCACACACCTCCTCCCTTAATAGCTCACTGGCTGACAACTTTATAGTTAAAACTTTTAACATCCACTTCAAACTCCGTAACTTCCACTTTACTTCAGTTGATAGCTGACGTTTCACATAGTAGCAGCTAGTGCTTCCCTGCTACTTTTAGCTCCCCAGAGTGCAACTGTTTATGTCATTGTGATGATGTTGTCACTTTCAAGCAGGATTGCCTCCTTTTATGGGCATCACGTGCTACGTCAGATGTACGTGCGGAATACCGTTCTTCCCATACTCTTCATACTTTGAATATGTCACATTTTTACTCAGAACATACTTCTCGGACGTATGTGTGTTTGTGTGTGTGGCAAATTTCTGATCTGAGTATGTGTGGCTATGAATTAGTGGGATGACGTGGAGCCAGCAGAATCAGGTCGGCTGCTGTTAGTGGAGCTCGGATTTGTGGTTTCTACTTGGAGGGAACTTGTTGAGTGACCGAGTCAAGAATTTGGTGATAAACTGTCGTAAAGTGAACTTCTACTTTGTCGTCATTCTGTGGCTCGTTCAGGTTATTCTGTTGCTCGTTGAGCGAGAACTGCAGATATGTGTCACTCTGGAGTAGTACTCTCTCTCTCTCTCTCTCTCTCTCTCTCTCT